TCCTCCTCCTCCTCCTCCTCCTCCTCCCCTCCTCCTCCTCCCCTCCCCTCCTCCTCCTCCTCCTCCTCCTCCTCCTCCCCCCCCCCCTCCTCCTCCTCCTCCTCCTCCTCCTCCTCCTCCTCCTCCTCCTCCTCCTCCTCCTCCTCCTCCTCCCCCTCCTCCTCTTCCTCTGGGAGAGGGAGGGAGAGGAGGCATGCTGCCAAATAGTTTCCAGAGGTCTAAGACATGTTTCAAACATGTTGTTTTTGAATATGTAAAAGCATGTCTGAAACGTGTTTAGGACATGCTTTACACATGTTGAACACGTCTTGGATTCTAGACGCTTCGCGTAACCCCACCAGCCCATCCAGAAACGATGCCCAGAGGAATTGCCTCGATCAGGGAAGTGGGCAGCACACAGAGGAATGGTCCCCCAGTGGAGGCCTATTGGAGCGTCGTGGGTGCCTCGGAGAGCTTCTTGGGGCCTCTTGGGGGTCTCTTGGGAGCCTCTTGGAGGCCTCTTTGGCGCCTGTTGGGGCCTCCTGGGCGCCTCTTGTGGCCCTCTTGAAGCGCTCTTGGGAGCCTTGGGAGCGCTCTTGGGGGCATCTTGGAGGACATCGATCAAACAAGAAGCGAGCATTAGTTAGCGTTGCCCCTCGGGAGCCCAACAAATCGCCTCTTGGGGCGCTCGTGGGGCGCTCTTGGAGCGCTCTTAGGCGCTCTTGGGGCCGTCTTAGGGCTCTCTTGAGCCTCTCTTGGAGCCCTCTTGGGCCATCTTGGAGCCATCTTGAGACCTCGGATGGCCATCGGAAGCGAAAAGGCGAGAAAGCCAAACACAGATGTTCCTAAGGTTTTGGCCTCTTCGGGGCCTCCTGAGGGAGCTCTTTGGCCACTTGGAGTGGAGCGGTCTTGGGGCATCTTGGAGCATCGTCGGAGACACTATGAGACATCTTGGGATATCTTGAGCCATCTTGGAGGTCATATTGGGCTCTCCCAGGCGCTCTTGGAGTCATCTTAATCAGTGCCCCCCCAAAGAGGCCAACATGTGGCCAAAACCTTAATACAATCAATGATTTGGCATTCTCGCCGAGGCCTCTTGGAGCATCTTGGGTGCCCCTGGGGGGTCTCTTGGGGCCTCTTGGGGGTCTCTTGGGAGCCTCTTGGGGGCATCCTGGGGGCCTCTTGGGGCTTCCTGGCCACCTCTTGGGGCCCTATTGGGGCACCCTTGGGAGCCTTGGGGGCCATCTTTGGCCCATCTTGGGTGAGATCGATCACAGGAGGGGGTCACTAATTTGCCCCCCCCCCCTCAGGATACCAAAATGGGGCCAAAACCGTAGTAAAACCAATGATTTTGGCTTCCTCGCCGAGGCCGTTTTGGACGCTCCGACACCTCGCGGAACCCCTTGTCCAGGTCCAGGGGAGGGGGTAGGGGGAGGGGCAAACCCTTCCCCGAAGGGGAAGAAGGAGGGGTGGAAGAGGAAACTCCCGAAACCACCTGCGCCCGGAGGGCTGGTGGGGTTCCATGGTAGGACTGTTCGATTGTCCACTGTCATGGCATCCACAGGAGGAGAAGAAGGAAAAGGAAGAGGAATAAGAAGAGGAATAACTGGAGGAGGAGGAGGAGGAGGAGGAGGAGGAGGAGGAGGAGGAAGAGGACGACGGTTTTTTCTCACGGCGTCGGACGTCGGGGCCGGCTGGGAACGAGCCCCGGGCTCCGACGCCGTGGCTCGCCTCGGCGCGGGCCCCCGGAGGCTCGCCGGGGTCCGCCTGCGGTCGCGGGCTCGCGCTCTGCGGCAGCGCTCTTCGGGCCAGACCCAGACCTCCGACGTCGCGAGAAACTCACGACGAGGGTTTTGATGATTTTCGGCCTCGGGAGGCCCCCGCCGGGCCTCGGGAGCGTCAAAAAACGACTCGGGATGAAAAACCGGGCCCAGGGAAGGTCTCCAGACTTCGGGGGGCCGACGTCGTGAGTTTCTCACGACGTCGGGGGTCTGGGGACGAAACGGGGGGGATTGGGAAAGGGGGGGTTACGAAATCTGCTGCGCGCAGCTGGTTTCGGCCTCACCGAGGGGCCCATTCCTCGATGCACCGCCGGCTCCGGCGCCGGGAGGCGCCGGGACAATCGGCTACGTGATCTGATTCTCTCACCCCCCCCTTTGCAACCCCCCCCCTTTGCTGTGTCAAGTTTGCAGCACGCCGCGAAGAGTTCGAAGCCACAATCACCTTCAGTAGTCATCACGCGGATGTGACTCGCAAGGCGCCCATCTCTTCGTTCCCGGCGGATGTGCTGTGGCCGTGGCTGCAGGCAGACGCGCCGAGGGTCGTGTGGAGTGGCCGACTGTAGCTCTGAGCTTGTGCCCGTGGACCGAGTGTAAAGATATGCCGACTGGTGTACTCCAGATTTCGTAGTAAAAGGGAGGGGGTCTGGACCCTCCAGGACAAGCCATTTCAGACCTCCCCCGTGGGAGAACCCTCCAAAACATCGTCCCCAGACCCCCCAGGCCCTCCAAGATAGCCTGGAAGAGACCCCCCCCCGAAATGAGACCCCCCTCCCTTTATTACAAAATCTGGAGTAGCCGTAGAGACCTCTGTCGGCCAGCAACTGCGCGCGTTCCCGGTTTTGCGAGCGGGCGAGAGAACGCGAGGGGGGAGACGGAGGAGCTGGAGGTGGGGGGTGGTGAAGGAGGAGGGTGTTTTTTTGGTGTTGGCCTTGGCTGCATTTCTGGTTCGAGCGTACCGTAGGCTCGAGTAAACGACACCGCTACAGTGGGCAGGTCTGACACACACACACACACACACACACAACATGCTGCAGAGCGGCAGCAGCTCGTCGCGCACCTGAGCCTCGCCCGTGGCGGGGTCGGGAGCCTCCGCACCAGAGGGAGCATGTTTGCGAACGTCTGCGCTGCTGCGGTTTTTCTCGAACGCGCTCCCTCCCAGTCCTGGCATCGCTCGGACATGTGCATTTTCTCTCGGCGAAGAACCATCGAGGACCATCCTGGACCATCGAGCAAAAAAAACACGCACGAAACAGAAACATGCACGGGAAATGGACGTCCGAGCGATGGCGAGCAGTGTCCTGCCTGATGGTTCGAATCTTCAACCAACAAATCGCTACGGCCGCACTGGGCAGCTCTGGAAAGTAACAACCGGGCCGGAAGACGGCAGCAGCTCGTCTAGCACTGAGGCCTCGCCTTTGGCGTGGTAAGGGGCGCATCCCTTGAAATGTGCTTGCCCGGTGTATGCCTCTCGAGGGGGGAACGAGACGTACCCTTGCCTTGGCATCGCTCGGACGTGTGCACTTTTCCTTCGGCGAGGGCCATCGAGGAGCATCCTTGATCACCTGGCGAAGAAAACAACACGCACGAAACCGAAAAATACCCAGGGAAGGGACGTCCGAGCGATGGCCAGGTTCTGCCCCTGGACGGGGGGACCGGGACGTACACCTTAGGCGATGCTTAAGAAAGATTAAATTTTCGGCCAGAGTCTCGATTATTCTTAATGTTTCAAGGTAAATCCTAAGGTTTGAATGGAAATTTTTGGTTTTTATTCAAGTTCTGAGACTCTGAATTTCTTAACCCATGATTTCTTAAGCATTTCGCAGGGTGTACCCCCGCACTCCTTCCACGGGCCACAGGGCCTGCTGCCCGGGGACAGGCGCGCCCACGAGACGCCGAGCCGCGGGCAGCGCCGCGGCCCGCCGAGAGCCGGGCTCCGCGGCAGCTGCGCCGAGGGCGGCGTGCTGGCCCGGGCACGCCCACGCGCGCTGGGGGCGGCCTCTCGGCGCGACGGCGCCCGCAGCATGTGGATTGCCTGCCCCGCTTTCGCTTCCAGGCAAGACCAAGTCATGCCACGCGCCTCCTCGTCAAGCGGCCTGACCAGTGCAGGCTGCAATTTGGCATCGCTTGGCATCTCTTGGAAGCGAGGGTGGTCAAAAGCGAGGTGGGTCTGTTTTCCCCCTGAGCATGCTGTGCAGCTCCAGGAGGCTCGGTGGAAAACGCTGCCACGGATGCGTTTTGCTCCTGCGGCCCTCCTCGAAGTCAAATGCCAGTCTTCGACCCCCTCGCCCCCGAATTCAGACGGTGGTGGTGCGGGTGCGCGCAGCGCGGCCCGCGGGGTCGACGGAAACATGGCAGTCGCCAGTGTCGGCGTCGTCCAGGGGCGTCGCCTCGTCGTGGGAGAGACCTGCGCTTGAGTTCGAGGAGGCCTGTGAAGCCAAGCCTCAAGTCGGGCCTGTCCCCCTACAGGGGGATCTTCGACGAGAAATAAAAAACAAATACCCAAAAATACACCAAAAGGGTCAAAAAATATTCGACAAAATGATCCCCATATTATTTTTGGATTATTTTGGGGGTATTTTTAGTTTTTCGTCGAAAAATCCCCCTCTGTAGGGGGACAGGCCCGACCTAAGCCAAGCCCCGAGGAGGGGCCTGGCGGGCGGAGGGCGCCGGGCGGCCCTCGGGGGTGCAGCGATGGGAGGCAGAGCGGCGGACCTGGAGGAGGGCCCCCCCATGTCGGCACCACCGCCCCGATCCCCTGGCGCCGTCCGCGCTGCCAAGACCTCGGGAGGCAGAGGCAGAGGAGGAGGAGGAGGAGGAGGAGGGAGACGAGGAGGAGGAGGAGGAGGAGGAGGAGGAGGAGGAGGAGGAGGGAGAGGAGGAGGAGAGGAGGAGGAGGAGGAGAGGAGGAGGGAGGAGGAGGGAGAGAGGAGGAGGAGGAGGAGGGAGGAGGAGGAGGAGGAGGAGGGAGGAGGAGGAGGAGGAGGAGGAGGAACGAGGAGGGAGACGAGAGGAGGAGGAGGAGGAAGAGGAGGAGGGAGACGAGGACGAGGAGGAGGAGGAGGAAGAGGAGGAGGAGGAGGAGGAAGAGGAGGAGGAGGAGGAGGAGGAGGAGGGGAAGAGAAAGACGAGGCGCACCCTCGGCTGGCCGAGCGAGGGTCGATGAGGACGAGGCGGAGGAGGAGGAGGAGCAGGAGGAGGAGCCCTCGCCGCCGACGTCGGCGGAGCTGCGCCGGAGGGCAG